TCTATTTCATACCTTAAAGGAGATTCGGGAAAAGATAGAATAGGAAGACGTGTTTCCAGAACAAACAAGATACGGGTTGAGAGGGGGAAGTTAGCAAAGTTAGACAAGATTGGAATGGGCATAGGAACATGTATTGATGTACCAGATCGGCTAATGCTCCCAGGTTGATGCAAAGTATTCCACCAGTTGACTGAAGACTTTATTATTGGTATATCGATCGGTCCAACACGGATTGAAATAGGAGCCGGTTCGACAGGAAGCTTTTGAAAACGCAGTGCACCCAGGTAAATCAGAAACGAGATGAATACAGAGGTTAAACGAGCATCCCACACCCAAAAGGTGCCCCACATAGGTCTTCCCCGAAACCCCCCAGTAACTAAGGTAAACAACGTAAAAAAAGCACCCATTTCTGTACCGGTTCCGGAAGAGCGAAGAAAAAGGGGATGTTTTGTTAATAGGAATAAGAAAGTGTTTATAGCCGTAGCGATATAAACAAGAATACTCATCCGAGCCGCAGGAACATGTACATAAAGAATACGAGAATTTCCACCTTGTTGAAGATCTAATGGTGCTACCCGAAGACTTAAATGAATAGCCATCGCTGTTAAGAACAACCGAGATCCAATGAGAATTAGTGCACAGCTTCTGGTCTTTGACATCAAAAAAGAAGGTTGTAATAACGATAACGAAAGGGACATCTGAGAATTTTGTCCTAGCTAGTGGAACAAGAAAGACATGGATCTATATTCAATACGCAATCAAAGGATTTATCCCAACGAATAATTCCCCCTGCTTTGTTTTCGCTCCGCTCGTGCGTGGCACTCCTTGCTGGCGGAGCGGCATACCGAAAAAAAAATAAAGATCATGAGTATACTTAATACCAACCCAATCTCGATAAAAGTCAAAGTGACTACATCTCCTGCGGACCCTGACGTGAACAGACGCTTTCTCGGAGAAAGCTTTTTTTCTTTGTTTGTTGACTTCACTTAGCAAGCCTCGAATCCAAATCCTTTCTACGCGACTTTCTTCTCTTATGAAATTTCTACTCAGCTTGAAAAGAAGCCTCAAGCCGATAAGAGCTCTTCATCATATTCGACAATTTCGAAAGAAGAACTGACAGTGATTGACCTCACGGCACACATGCTATATGTTCATGCCAAAAAGGCGATATTTTCTATTCTTAATTAAAGGAGCGAAGCGCTTAGTGGTTGAAGTAGAGGAGAGCTAGAATGAGTCAATTTTCCTAGGGAAAGCACACAAGCAGGAAGGAAGAATCGAAAAGGCACTTTATTTCCTATTTAGGAATGAGCGGCCTACAGAGTGGAAATGATCCTGCGAAGCCGGTCAGGCCAACTCTAGCTTTAGGAATAAAAAGGCATACAGCCCCTATGAAAGCATCCATTTCATGAGTTGAACTGGCTCTGCTCCTTGCTGGAGGAAAAACGAGATTATGTTATTCGAAGCCTTTTATAAGTCCGAGCTTTCCTTTCAATTCGTGTAGCGAGGTCCTCTTCTTGCTTTTGTCTCCTAGCATTCTACTGGATAGCTCCTACCCTTCCTTTATCCTCCTTGCGCTATGAATTGGCTTTCTTGTTGTTAATGGGCAGACAAACTTTTGACCCAGACGTGGGTGGGGTGGGCTTTTTTCTAAGGAAAAAGTATGACCTTAATCTACTTTCTCGGGTATCTAGCTTACGGAAGACAAGGTCTTGACGTTCTATAGATGAACTAGCATAATAGACATGCTTGAATTTATAAAGACAACTTTGAATCACTCGTTTAATACAAAGCAACTTTCGCCCTATCCTGACCTGACGGGAAGGGAACTTATGAAGAAGACTGACCTGTGCTCTTCCTGTAATCTGACCTTACAATAGCTTTCTTAAAGCTTTTGGCTTATTGATCTCCAACTGTATTTGTATTCGTATCTGGTAATTCTCTTTCTAGTGGATCAAGATATTCGAGGCTAATCCACTCTTCCTTGAAACTTGGAAATCGCCCTTTATTAAAATGAAAACTTTTTTTACTTATAAATGAGTTGCTTCTCGACTCGACTGACTCACACTCCTCTCCTATCTTTTTAAGAGCTGCCATGGGCATTTATTTACCTTGGATGCTATAAGAATGGGCTGGCTCTTGCCCCATTCAAAAGGATGAAAATGGACAAATCCATTAAGAGTATCATTTGTCACTTCTCTTGATTTCCCACCCACCTACCTATCATCTATAAGTCTCCTGAAGCTCCCCCGCTTGGTAGCTAATCCCGCTCGTTGGTATCTGTGAGTCTAGATCTTAGCTTATCTTATACTCTCTATACTTCGCATTTCCTTGAGCCTTTCTACTTATAGACCGGGACTGCTATTTGTTTCATACCTGAAATGAAAGAAAAGGCAAGCAAGTCAGGGATTCCTCGAGCTGCTATCTCGATACCGATCCTTGAAACCCTGAATTAAGGGCACTGCTTAGGTAAGAAAGAAGCGCTGATCCACTTATACTCGCTAGGGGTTACTCTATCACACGCATCCTAGCTTATCTCACTTCTTCCTTGAAGGTCCCACGGACTGTTCGAATCCTTAGCCTGTCCTTGATTAGCTTCCTATCACCTACACCTCCTCCCAGGAAGTCACTATTCTTTCCTTTCTCCTGGCTCCTGAAGCTTTTGCATTTTTCAAAGGCCTTCACTCGATCTTCATTCTACTATAAGAACTCGAACCTGAGTCCATTACTATTCTGGTCGAGTTCGTTTATTCGTTTTTTCAGAACTCACACTTCGTACCTGAACATGAATAGGCAGCGCTCTTTTTCCCGACGTAAGCCCAGGCTTGCTATCATCCAGTTGTGGCTTTTCCCCCCTTCATTCTCAAGTGCTATAGCTTGTTCGCTAAATTCCTTCCCGATACCCCTTCATCACGTCTTGGGCAACCAAAACCCTAGCCTTGAAAGATTTTTTAACTTCCCCGGACGAATGGATTAAATCTCTTTTCAGGTTCAGTGAGGACAGTCCTTACTATCCTAGCTGCGGTTCCTTTTCATATCCCGCTTTGAAGCAACTACACTCGCTCGTTAGCCTGTCTGGCTCTCGACCTGCTTCAGTATCTAAAACACTTTTTTTTACTCTTGCATTCGCTATACTTCGTTCTGCTACCTTCCGATGTACTACCAAACCGACAACTAACCTTGCTTTTCTACCTTATCAGTAACAGCTATATTCGGAGACTTTACCTGAAGAAAACGGAGACCTAGAACTACTAGGATTCCTAGCTTCCAGCTTTATCAAGCTAGAAGCTAGGAACGCGCCCCCTACTTGCTCATTCGCTATTACTACAAAGTCGCCCCTCTCTCTAAGGGGGCTTATGAACTCAACAACTTTCTCTTATGTTATGGGGTCGCGAATAATTTAGCTGCCAACCCTAGTCAGCAAGCTGAAATGAAAAAGTCCTTTCTAATAAATAAGGTAAGCTTCATAGCTCCAACCTAGGTTAGGGGGTCGTTAGACCGCCGCTTACTTACTAAGCGCTGGCTGGTTCTATCCCGGCCAAGCAACCAAAGCCGGGGACCTAGGTGGGAATAGTGAAACAAAAGAAAGAGAAGGGGAAGAAGCGGGGTAGAGTAGTTGGTTAACTCGTCAGGCTCATGATCTGAAGATTGCAGGTTCGAATCCTGCCCCCGCCATGTCTTGATTTCTAAAAGTCTGAACTTGAACCCTAGTTTCCATCAAGCAGAAGCAAGACGGACCGAGGGAAGAGGGCTGTTTCCCCGATGGCTATGAATGGCGCGGTTACTATCCGGAATATTTTGAAAAGCTGCCAAGCAATAAAAGAAAGCGAGCATCACAAATATGAGGACATGAACGCAGAGCATGCCATGCATTGTTTTCCAAGAATGACTACTTTGAATGGTCAGGAGCAATAGCCACTCTACTTCCACCAGCTGAGATCAAAGCACGAAAGTATTTAGTCTGTATCTGAACCATAGCCATATGCTGAAACCATAAAATGAGATGACCGAGACGATAGAACCGTAACCGATAGGAAAGAAAGCTGGCGCAAAATAAAGACATACCAGACCGGGTCAAAAGAGAGATTGCCCTCCGGCTGCATTTCCGAGGAATTCACTTCAACCACGTACTTCCATACATCAGAGGTCAAGCCCTCTTAAAGCCCAACCAAAGCAAAGCCAGCGAGTCAGTTCGGCTTTCTTGATGTCCGAAGGTGAAGACAAGTAGAGAATTGACCTTGACCGGAGCACCGAGAACGAGAACATATAGTGCCTTTATTTTTTCAATTATGCCCGCTGACCGCTTTAGGAGGTGGAACCCCGAAGGAGAGATAGGGCTGAAATTATCACCTCACTGACGAAGCCTTTAGCAGATATCACATGCATGGGTGGGGCATTCAAACTTTGAAAAGGGGCAGGCCCTGAACACTATTATTCTGACAACGTCGATCTGGCCATATGGCCCGTAGTGATGATAAATAGAGAAAAACATCCAACTTCCCCCCTCCAGATTAGACCATTGTGCCAAGAGCACCACGAATGAAATGAACAAGGACTGATTTGGAAAGAAGGTTTGAATACGAACCTGACCTAGAAGGGGCAAGAGATTTTAGGGAAATCAAACAAAGGAAGAGAAATGTGGGACCTGAAGTGAGGACCACGTGGGGCAGGATCCGACCCAGAGGTTTTGGAGTTGACAGCAGCTTTTCTTCCTCAAAGCCAGCCTCAAGGCACAAAGTTGAGGGCGAAAAGCCTTTTTGAATAAAGAAAGAGGGACTTCGATTGTCATCTAGTGATTTTTCATATACTGATTTTTGGCCTCAGGTCGAATTTCCTAGGAACGGAAGGAGTGGCATATACTAAGATGCCGGCGGGAATGGATTCTTGAGCCCCTTATTTACCTGGCGCCAACCTAATAAAAGATCGAAGTACCAAATGCTTAGGTCACCCGAGAGAGGCCTACGGGGCATTACGAGATAAAAAGCTCCTAGGCCGTGCGTGGGTCAAGACCAGAGAGCTACAGGTACACCCGGGGCAACAGAGCACTCACAGGCGGGGTCGGGGCAAGGGCAGCACGTCACGGAAGTTCTCAGCTTAATCTTACCGGCGCTATATCTTGGGTGCGCGATATGGTGGGACTGTCTAACACAGAGACCCCCAAGCATCCCTGAGTTACAGCAGCTGGCGGAGGCAACGCAAATCGGGGAACCGGCAAGTTCTTCCGCAGAAGTCAGGCAGCTAGTAGACCACCTCAGTGAGCAAGCCAGGGAGGTGGCCAGTGAAGCTTCAATGGAAAGAACACCCAGAGCTCTTGCAATGTGGATGGCTGGGCTAACGCTAGCATTCGCTATCTCCATAGCGCTTGCTCAAAAGGTCCGGGGTTATACTGGTTATTAATACGAGCCTGGAATTTATGGGAAAAGGTATACTACGCAAGAAGAGCTCCTCCCCCCTAGATCTTTGCTTAGGAAAAAAAAAGTCGAGTAGTCGTAATTCGAAAAAAATGAAGGTGGGGCTGGGCAGTAGCACCGAGATCTCATAGAGGAGGCATTTTTATCGCGGGCTCCCTTTTAGATGTGGGTGGATTTAGGTGGTTTTTTTTATGCAAGACGAGTGAAATGGGAAAAGAAAGGTGGAGGTTGACCTGCTTTGTGACAGATGTGGAATGGAGCCTGAATCTACCATTCATGTTTTAAAGGGCTGCCCCTGGGCATCTGGCATTTGGCTACTCTGCCCATTAGCCCTTCATACTCAACAGATGCAGGCTCTCTCTCAGATTGGGTGAAGGAGATGGGGAAGTGTCTTGATGAAGAGCAGCTGGAACTGATGCTAGTAGTTGCATGGGCTTTATGGAGTGATAGAAATTTGCTGCTGTTCCAGGACATACAGAACTATCCTGTGGATGTGGTGAACAAAGCAATCAGCTTCTTCTAATAGTATAAGAAGGAGAAGCTACAAATTGTGCAAACACCTATTGGCAGGCCCCACCCCATGGTGTTTATAATTTTAATACTGATGCTGCTATTTTTAACCAGCAAGGGATTGGCTGCTTGCTTCATCCCGCCCTTCCTTCCCTCACCTGTCCCACGCGCTCTTTGATGCCGAAAATCCTATGTTCTGAGTGACCATGAACACACTGCTTGAGACCCTTCTTTCTTGTGAATGGGTACGAAAGAAAGCAATTCTTCGCATCACTCCTTCCTTGGATTAGTAAACTACTATCGATAATTCGTGGAGGGTTCTTCAAGGGCCCTGACCGATAGGAATCAAGGATGAGTCTCTACATCTATCTTATATCTGTTCATTTAGGATTAAAAAGGCTTTAGGAAGACAATGAGATCTCAGACTTTCCTGAAAGCTTAGTAAGGGAGTCCTAAGTCGAATAGCCTTATTCAATGATTTTTGAGTGAATACCCGAAAGAATGGACAACCCACGGGGTCACTCTGTCCTTAAAGACTCATGTTATCGTTCACGCTTCCCGGCCAGGGATTCAATACCTAAAAGGCAGCTACATGTCTACTATTTATTCATACTTTAGAAATGAAGGACTCTCTCTATCCTGAGTTACTCAACCAGACCCGGACCTTACTCATACTTACTTCCCGGTACTCAAATCCGTTATTTCTCAACCGGACTCGAAGACAGTGGTCTAACCATTTCAAAGTCGAGGAATGGCAGAAGATTGCAAAGACTCGAGAACAGAAAGGGCATTGGCATCGGGGCTAGAAAGCAAGCAAGAAAGGAAAGCTAGAGAGAGATAGCCCTTTTCTAAAGTATATATAACCATTCTAAAGGCTTATAATCAAACGGACTCTCAAACCATAAGGCATGGGGTTCGCTTGAAAGTTAAATTCATGAGCTTGTTAACGGTACCTGGGCACCTCTTGCTAGTTGTTCTACCGCCATCTTTGATGGCCTGTAGCTTGATTTCGAACAGAGAAATTGCTTCTTTCTATTAAAGGATAGACGAGCACACGTACGCGAAAGAAAGCCAAGGAAAGAGCGGAAAAGCTTTTTCTCTTTTATTTAAAGAAGTAGATGCCATGAGGATGCCCAATGGAGAATAAGATGTCAGCTGGGGGATTCAAGCTCTATACCTTACCTCTCCCAAAGGGCAAAGAAAAGGCCTATAATCAACGCAAAGGGGAGCTCTAAGGATAGGATACAGGCAGGGATAGAAAGATAAGAAAGAAAGGCAAAGGTTCATTAGCTCCATAGTTGCTAACAGGGAGGGGCTGTTACTGGTCCGCAGATGAACTTAATCTCTCAAGTTGTTGAGCAGGAATGGGAACCTAGCAGATGCACTCATAGCTGATGCTAATGATTTAGAACATTGAAAAAAATATAGTATAGAAAACGACTCCAAAAAAGTAAAATGCAAGAGAGGTTGGTAACTAGGTTTTCGGGTCCTGACAAAGGATGGAAACCGGCTTTCCTTAATCCCGATAAGGGTGCGGGAGGAAAACAGCCAGATCTATGGCTGATAGATGGGGAACTACCAACCTCCACAGGAGCCGCTAGCTCTCTAATGAAATAAAGTCCCGGATGCAGTAGAGCTAAAATCTCACCGGAGGAAAAAACTTGAATTCTTCCGTCTTGAAAGCGAGTGAGCAAGCCCCATCCTCTTGGGAGTTTCCAACCTAGTCCTAAGGGCAGGGTTTGCGGGTAGGCAAGCTAGAAGCGACAGAGTCGATTCTTATCTTAAGTTTAAGTACCCGACCAGTAGTATGACCTAATCGATTTAGTTAACTTCATAAAGATACAGAATGCCTTTCAATTCAGGGGAAGAATATATGACAATTGAACTGAAAACTGAAATCTCAGTCTCAAGGGAAGTTAGTACTTTCATCAGCCGAAGAAGGCTGAATATGATCAATAGCTTGATTTAACTCCAGCGAGCCATAGAGCAGCTTTGAGGTTCCCAAGCGGTAAAGACCATACAGGAGTTTAATGCTCACGGAAATTCCCACTTGGCGGGAATTGAAAGCCTCTTTGCTATACTAGCCCTTGACCAGTGAGTGAGCCTAGACTCTCTCTATTCGAGTGAGTTCCACTTCTCTTGAAGCGTAATACCCTTACTGCTAGTTTCCTATTCCCGAATCTAAGGGTTAGCTTTCTATCTCTCTTAAAGAGGGTCCTCGTAGCGCTTTCCTCTCACTGTTATTGCCCGGTACCCTAGCTAGATTCAAGTTCTCCTCCCCATTCTTTTAATGGTAGCAATGGATCCGGAACAACTTCTGACCGCTTAACCACACTACACTCAGATTTATTCAGTCGGAAGACTGCTATTGAATTAGCGCTTTCAAAGGGCGACTCCACTGCTATTGATAAGTGCAGCTAACCTCTTGTTAGCAGCTTCTCCCGTCTTTCGATCAGACTCTGAACACGAATTGTGTCAGAAATCCGCCGTAGGCTGGGCTCTTCCCCTATAGTATTAACCAAGAAGCGCCTATATAGTTCGCTTTATCGTTCGCTATCTGGTAATAAGGGGTGGGTTAATACGGGAATCTCTGGGGCCGCGGGGGGAACTTCAGGAGCATCAATGACAGGTGCTGGGGCATTGTTGCCTACTGTAGGCGGGGACGGTGGTCCGTCCACTCCCACCCCATTGCACGGCGCTATAACCATAAAGTGATCCCCCCACAAAAGATAATGGTACCAAAAGGGGAGTCAGATGATGAGGAGATTCCCACGTATTAAAGAGTGGGGGGAAGGCGAAACTAGTCAACACATTCTAATAATACCGAGAAGAGAATGGAGGAACCCACTGATGGAACTAAAGGGGAGGGGAACTATACCGGAGTTTACAGAAGCAATGCGGAGATAGCGGACTGAAAGCCCATTGTGGAAGGTGACCGAAAGAGTGCAGTTTTTGGAATGGAAGCTAAGAATGAAGAGGGGTCAAGTACCTTTAGCGCAAATACGGAAACCAGCCGCAGCAAATGCTAGTCAGATACCGTACATTCTAGGCCAAAAAGTAAAAAGTTAGAATAAACAAAGAGAATCATAAAGGAAAGGGAAAGGCAGAAAGAAGAGGCGGGATTCCTTTTCACAGCCCTTTACGTAGCGTGATGATCTCCTCGGGGGCTTACTTAGCCCCCATCCCCATTGTCAAGTGATGGAAGATCAGACTAGAGATCAAGCACATCGGACGGTATCTGAAGGGTTATCTTGGTATCAGATCAATTGAATTAGCTAGCCTAACCAAGGGATCAAGAAAGGTAAGACCTACACCAACAGAGCGAGCGAGTCTTCCAGTGAAGCAAGAGTATACACAGTAGGTTCCATTGGAGAAGGAGCTCACAAGCCGAGTCTCTCCGCGGAAGCCGTGGGAATTTCCTTTTTTACAAGTCTGGAAAGAAAGTTGGGACAGAGGCTTCCTTTCCTAATTCCAATCGTGACATCGGTAATCCCACATCCTGAGATAAAGCCAGTCTGATTCACGTGCAGAACCTTTTTGTCCAATTGCTTAAAGCTCTGTCAAAGAAGCATTCTATTCCCGAGCGGATTTGAGCCTAAGACAACTGGGTTTACTTACAGGGGTTATTCCCGTATGGATGTAACTTTTTTTCCGCTAGTCTGTCCCGTAGTTCAAGCGTGAAAAAGAAGTGCCACTAACCTTCCCTTCTTTCGATTTCGAGTAGGAGTTCAAACTAGGTATTCTGCGATAGGAGATAATCTAGGAGTTTATAGAGTTACATCCAATTCTCCAACAATTATCGTAGAGTGCTGTTCGAAATAGCTCTTGTGGACTGTAAGGTTTTGGGCATCGTACGAACCCTAGTCGAAGGTTCCTCTGCACGAAAGGCAATCGAGCTGCGTCCCGGCGAAATCTGACCCGATTCTTGCCACTCTCGCACAACACAAAGCCATCTTACGTTCAACCTAACCGGTGGCGTACTTTGAGGGGAGAGTACTCCCGTGCGCCCATACTGGTGTGGACCGTTCTTGCCTATTGGAATCTCTGGCTGCCGGTCTGCTTTACATGGATCCCTCGTTTGAGTGCTTGTTCTTGAGCTTCATCTCCCTCCATTTTACTATAGTCTGGGGAGTTTATTGGAAAACCTTTTCTAAATTTTAGTCTTCTTTTTTTATTTCATATACCCGCTCAATGGAAATTATGGGATTCCATATATAATTAAAATATTTCCCTACAAAGCAGCTCTCTTGAACATGAATCACCTCTTCCCATTGATTTTATCCTTGTCAAAATGAATGAAGTTAAAGCCATACCCGTTTCAAATTAAAATTTTTTTGATAAATTCAAATGTTATAAGTCAGGAACGCTATGTGAATAGGGTCTTAAAGCCCTCACCCAGCAAGAAAACGTATGCGCGAGACTAAGGCAGGCTATAGGCTTTATAGCGTTAGGGCTTTAGTTTGATTGCAGAGAGAGGAAGGAACGATCTCTAAAATGGGATTCGGAGTCGGGTGACTAGTGGTGCGGTGGACAATGACGAGCGTGACTGGCGTTTGTCCCATACAGAATAACTTATAGTGGAAGTGAGGCGAGGAGGCAATAGATTCATCTTGTCATGGAAGATAGACATGAAGGATAAGGCTTTGTAAGAGTGACCAGAGGAGCTAATAGTTTTAGTTTAACCGCCCATGCCGATCTGCCAACTTTCAAGGACTTACTTTCCGCTGACACCTAGTTGTTTCCTGCGGCTCGTCTCACGACTGGGTCAAAGCGGGGTCCAACCAATCTACGCATAGAATAAAGCAATCGGCAACCGAAACAAGATAAACCGCTCGAAAAAAAGTAAAGCACTCTGATAGCACAGGCCCTGTTTAAGCTTCGATCAAAGAAATCAGGTATGGTGGCTTAGGAGTTTGAGTCGTATTATCAATCTTAGCCAGCACGAAAAGGGCAGAACCTAATCAACAAAAAAGAATAAACGAATAGAAAGAGGGGGTTTACCTATGAATGTAGTTCTTCTTTAGTCATTCCCTAACCTTTTCTCATATTAGCGTAAGCTACCGTTTAATATGAATAAAGAATTTTCTTTCCGAACCTAAGGCTAATAGCTCCCGTGCTGCTTTTGACTCCTACTCAATGAATCCGAAGCTGTGGTATGGGTGTCCCGTGGATGCGCCTGCGAGTGAAGCAATGAGAATTGTTGATTCATTTTACACATGGAGAAGGGAATCGAAGATGGATGGAATTTCTTCAATTCAAAATATCCATTGCGTTCTTTTCTATTAATATTAAAGCTTGGTCACCAGAATGTTAATTGAAGAAATGTCTTCCCCGTGGCCAGAGTAAAGTGTTTGCTATTCCAAAGGGTGCTTCTCTGATCTTCAAGCTTTCCCGTGGTGCGCAAATGAAACTATTTTCTTGCCTTCACCCGGCCGATTAGTAAAGATTCCGGCTTCTCAATCGATTGCGTTTCGTATTATAAGATCAGGGGAAAAAGGCATCCATTCAAACAGCTCCCATTCCTATGTTGACACCAAGAGAAAGCCTAAGAGAAGAACATGCTACCAGTCCTAGCTGGCACCGATGCCAAGGGAAAGCATTTCAAGAAGAGACAACCAGTACGCCTACTTAGCAATTCCTCGTAAATAAAGATGCCGAAAGTCAGACAATAGATAGAGAGTCTCAGATCATAAGTAGTTCTTTGAAATAGAAAATAGGGACCTTTTTCACCGACATAGTCAGAAGCTATGGATGTTGAAAACGCACAAGCGAAGCGCCTTAGTCAGCGGAAGGGAAGAAGTCACCCTCAATTCGATCTAGCAAGAAATGCTTTACCGATAAAGTCAAGCGAGAGACAGTAGATTCCTTCTTAGGGTTCCAATAAATTCGACTAGTGCAAAGAAAGATGCAGTATCCAGTTGTAGAGCGACGCAGCAGAGGGAAGTTGGCACGATTTGTAATCCCTAGGGTATCGATGTCGGAGAAGGGGATCACTCAATGCTGCTACAGGCACTCATGAGTTCGGATTGGGTAGCGTGAAGGAGATAATAGAAGGAACCGCCGAAAGTAGTTCAGTTTTACCAGGTCTTCCTGAGTACAAATCTCCTCATCCAATAGCATTCTTAGTTAGTACCATTCTTAGAAGCCTGTTTTTGACGAGTGAAGCGGCTAGGCTACATGCTTAGCCTAGTATTCCCGGATTGGTATTGGATAAGAAAGATTCCGCTTTCTTCCCACTCATGAAGCATGCAGAACAATAAAGTGGGGGGAGGGCTTCTGTGGAAAAAGGGGAAGTTTGGGACGAGAGGGACTAAAATAGTAGTCACCAAACCCAAAGAAATTTTACTATGTTAAGGCGAATTGATAATGAAAGGTACTTCCATGTGTATAAAAGCACAAGGGGAGGAGGCCCCTAGTCCAAGTATCATAGCATAGGAGGGTGAACTTGGGCTGGGGGGAAGGGGAAGTGGTCCTATCCGATGTGGGTGTGCCAGAGGCTACGGTTTTAGCTTATTTGAAAGTAAAGTCTAAAGTGTGCCTCTCTTCTCGTGAAAGGGAGCTAGCGGTACCGGAAAAACTTCCTTCACTTCAGGCTAGCTACAATTGGCATATCCACCACTTGAATGATTCTAGACGTTTTACAGCAAGAGAAAGCAAGCAAGAAAACGACACTAAACAAGCAATAATACTGAAGAAGTGGTCACCCACCGCTTAGGCGGGAATCCATAGCTATAGTGGGGAGCCTGTCTCACTGGGAGTCAGTTACAACAAGATTGAAACTAGAACTGCGGAACGGACTGAACCAAAGGCTCTTCCCGGGAAGCGACTAGTTAGTTGAGAACCCTCTGCTTCTGACCCACGTAAGTTGCATGGTCACCTTCCTCATCCCCTGAATGAACTCCTGCAACTGATCTCCCACTCGGGAAGTTCAACTAAAGGCAAGGCAAACTAAATTGTCCGAGAAGATCTTATTCTTAGGACTTAAAATCATTCCCCTGCTGTAGCCCTTTCAAACTAACCCTATCCCGTCGCTTTCTCATATGAGATAAAAGCACTCTCTCATTATTGCTAATTAAGTGGCTCTCTCACTTGACGAAGCGCGCAAGCAATTTATCTTCTCTTTCTAGTAGGGCTAGGAGTTACTGAACAGCCACCCTAACCTGGTCGGTGTGTGGGAATGACTTAAGGCTAAAGAAAATTTTATTTAGCTCTACGGATGACTAACAAGGCAGGATCCAAGCGGGTGACTGCCGAGCAGCAGCACTGCTCGCCCTGGCATAGCCGTATGATTTCGTCACACACAGATTGTATTGTCTGTCTGGACTGTCTAATCCCGGCTTGTAATGGCATCAGGGCTAAAGCACATACATATGGAGAGGTGCAAGGATGTGCACTAGATTCTGATTTACTTACCAAAATCTACCAGCGGTCTTTTCGGTATGGTACGAATGAAGATTTTTCAACCCGTATGGCCGAGCTTCCTGTAATACCATAAAATTTGGGGGTCTCACTCCTATAAACATATGCATATGGATCTGTCTCTACGACCTTAGCCTTCAAAGCTTTCCGGTTCTATTCCTTTTTTGAATAAAGGCTTGTTATCGACGAATAAGCTCCTTAGACTTTGCCCTAAAAGCTCATCCTAAGGAAAGTCGTTTTCACTCGGGACTTCTTTCTATGCTAGCATGCTTCTACTTCTATTCTTGATCTGGATTCTTAAACCTTTATTCTAAGATAAGATGCCAGTCTATAAATCCGTACTTGTTGACTAAAAGACTTTCGGCCGGCGGATTTAGAATCAATCAATCCCATCCGTCTATTAGTTCAAGCGTATTCTCTAACAGCGGATTCTTGCTAACAGAAAGATAACCGCCTATTCTATCAAGCAGTCAATTCAATAACAGATGATTTGCTGCAAAGAGACGATTCGGTGCGCATTTCATGCTACTCCACGGTGGCTAGCTTTCTTGCTTCTGTGCTTGCTATTAATTCCTAGATGCGCGTAATCGTCTTCTGAGGAGATATCTTTTCTTTATGTGTTATAATACGAAAAAAGGTGAATTCTACTTAAGAAGAAGTCTTATTTTTAAAAATACACAAACCCTTATTTGTTAAATGAATGAATTATCAAACACTTAATTGAATAAGTTCAGGGCTAACAGTCTTAATAAAGCCAATAGTCGCCCCTGATTCGGATGTTACGATAAATCTGTCCTCTGATTCTGATGCCGCAGAAGAGAAGGGAAACCCTGACCGAAGGTAGCACATAAGACGATGTGTAAAGCGTATAGCTAGCCAATGTAATCGAATCCTTCTGTTCCTAAGGGAAGGGGCTTACTCATATATATATAATATAAAAAAGAAAGTTTGCACTTAATCTATTAAGGCCAATCTTCTGATCTTCAACTATTCTCACCCCTCGGAGTCTAAAAAAAAATATGTGTATCTTGCTATTGGTATCAATCGGTCCTCTCTTTCCTTTTGGTGGCGCATGCTTAGATTACCCTTATTCTTCATCTTCTCTACCCTTCGGTTGCTTAGGGCGCCCAGAGGGATTCGCCTCTAGGAGAATAGTTATTGATCACATAGCTTGGGTACTAGAAGTTGCTGATCGTATCATTCGGGCAGAGCCTGGGTCCCTTAGTATTATGTATAGCGCAGCTCCCTCTTTCTTTTGCTAGTTTTGTTCCGATCGATGAAGGAAACCCTTCTCTTACTGGAGCGCGCGGATTCGTTTTCATATTTAACTGGGATCGGTCCTAAGGCGCGTGCTTCAATATTGTCTTGATTGGCAGTCGCTCTTCTGTATTTTAAATCTTCAGAGATACCCTCAGAGTTCTGTCCTGAATGGGAGGGTTTTTGAGTCAAGTCAAGAAGAAGAAAAAGACAGTCCCACAAAGGAATCTTGGACAATGGGCACAAGTCTTTATTAAAGAATTAGTATCTCCATTATAATAAGCATTTCTATCAGCTCTGCTCTTTTGTCTCCTGAATATCATCTCGAGACCCAAACTACGAGATCCGGATTGGAACCAACGCATATTGATTCAAAGCTTATGGCCCTTCAATACAACCCCCCTCTGTATAAAACCTTAAGTGAGCGGTGCGAGTCTACAATCGCTTGGCTGACTCGCTAGCCCTTATGGAATAAATACTCAGCCGCTCTAGTACACATGCTAGTACACCGAAGCACAGAGTCGCTTGTCATCGAGAGATTGGACATCCCAGCCACAGCACAGAGAGCCCTTCCGTCGAACGGGACTCATTCATCTTCTTGGATGAAGACTATCGAGAGTTGGAACATGATGAACTATCACCAGTCAAGATTACGAGGACGATGGGAACCTTGGTATTATGATTTCTACAATTACCTCAAGGACGGGTTCATATCAGAGTACGCCACTCGTGGTCAGAGGAGAGCCTGGAGGAGAACTTGCCCGACGATTTGTGATCTTGGGAGATGTCCTTTACAAAAGGTCCTTCAAGGGGTACTCGCCCTTCCTTATACTTAATAGGAAGAAGGAGCGCACATTGTTGAACAAGCTCATTCAAGAGGCAAGGCCCCCCTATAAAAAGCGTACCTTCGAAGGCATGATTGCTGCGATCAGGAGCTGCTTAACATAATTGAGAACAGGAGATCAGAAGATTTTGTGGAGGATAAAGTCCAAAGTGAACCAACACTGGGATCTGATCATAGCCGCTGTGAGGATGCAAAGGCGATAGTTTTTCGATTCGGCAAACATGAGATGTGTCCCACACTTTAAGAAGTACATCGAATTTTTTAGATATCCCGTAATGTCCTTTTTGTACCTAGAGAAGGACGACCTCGAGAGAGCAGACGACCGGTAGAGTAGGTGCTCCATATCGTTCCTGCTGCGTAGGTCTAAGGTAATTAACAGTGCTAGCAGAGAATCAGTAGGCCCTCACCCTTCTCTAATAGGGGCAGTGCCACCTATAGAACGGGAATGTTCATCCTCTCTTAAAGTCCTTTAGGGATTTAGAGTCGGGAATAGAGCTGTGGCAAGCAATATAGATCGCCCCTTACGCTCTCTCTAAAAAAAGCCCTTCTTAGTAAAGCTTCGGCCTTATGGAGAAAAGGGAAGTGCAGATCTGGAGTGTTTGGACGAGAAAGAAAGGCTTTGCAGCAAGCTGAGTTGTACCGCAATTTTATTTTCCGGGCATACGAGAAAAGAGTCCAGCCGAGCATATTTGTTTGCTAGTTTCTTGATCCCGGAAATCTTGTACTCAGAGTCACGGATAAAGTTGACTACCCAGCGACGGAGTGGATGACCCCCCGTTCTTTCTAGTGGGTTTTATCCCGTCCCTTTTGGGACCATTCACCCTTTTCCAAGCATAGGTAGAACCCCTCTTTCCCATACACAACGACGGTTCCAAGCAAGATGAGTAGTTTATAGTCGACTCAATATCAACGAAACCCCCCCATTTTATCTTTTTAGTACCGATGGTCTTGTAGTGCACCCTTCATCGAAAGAGTAGGCGGTTGAAAGACCCACCTCTGAATAAACCTTTAGGTTGGGAGATATCAAAGGGGAACCTCGCCTAGCTTATCTGTCCCTGTATTATTCAACTCATCTGTCCACTTATCTTGTTCAAAGCAGAAGGAAGATTTGAATCCTTTCTTTCGAGGGTAATCCGCCAGTCTCTAGACTGGAAAAGATTCAATCCACTTCTTGACCGGCTTCTTAGGTGCTGCTTAGGCCTGCTTCTATGTCCTGTAACTTCTAAGGCTTCTCACAGGCATTTGCTTTAAAGGGGCTGGCTTGTTGGCCCCCTTCTTAGTTAGCTCTTTATGTCTGCTTTAAGCTTCGTCGGACATTTTATGGCCCGTAGCTTACAACATCTTATGAGAAGGGCCTGTAGCTCGATACAATTGTTGGCCAGTTGCTTACTTGCGTATGGGCAGACGTATTCAGCCATTCCCATCCCTCATCAGGGAGGGCCCAGCTTGACAAAGATTTTGATGTGGATGAGAGGGGGAGCATCTTTTTTAGATATCCCCGCAATTAGAGCTATTAGATGAGAAGAGACTTCGCGCCATGGAACATGTCCAAGTCTACCAGAAAATTCCAGTGCATTCCAAAATCAGGTAATATAGAGAAAGTTCAACATAGGGGAGAAAGTCTTGAAAAAGATTCTTTCCGGACGTGAGCCTCATCCAAGATGGAAACTCCATTTTGTGCTCGCTCTCTTCTGTCATGCGCATCATGGCTGGGTGAGTTGGCCCATTGCGAATTCTTCCAATCTGGTCATGCACTTTTTTAAGATGCGGAACCTGGGAGCTTTCCTCTTCAAAATAGGGGTAAATTTTTCGTAGGGGGGTAAGGAAGGTGCCGAGATCGTAATAGAAAGGAGTTGATAGTCCCGTCTGCTAGGCTTTTCCGAACTTCCCTTCTTCTGCCTGTTAAATCCTTTTCTTCTGCTTTTTCCCAACGATATATCCCCATTCTTTAAAAAAAAGAAAGCATATATTAGTTCCAGAGAATCATCCGAACATTCTGAGATACGGTTGTCAAATGGGAGAAGAGGAACGAGAGGCGTCCCTAAGCTTTCCGGCTCACTAGTAAGTGACGAGGGGTTTTAATTTCATTCTCAGAACCTCCTTCGAATTACAGAACTGGAGGGGGTCTCACAGGCATCTCTCTTCGAGCGGCAGTGCAAGCTCGGATGGTGTTAGCGCTGGCAGAAGGTCCGAAGATTCATTTCCAAAAATAGGAATGTCAGAGCAGTTAGTCCGCATGTCCCTAACTACCTTGTTCCTGATTGGATTGCTTTCTTAGTGTGGCATCTTTTTGTTCGCTATCCACTAGTGAGATTATCATATATAAATGTAGATAGAGAAAGAGGCTAAGCCTACGTAACGCTATGGGAACAACTTTTTTTGTCCGCTTTCAGCTATGCTATATAGATGCGCTACCTTGTGAAAGAAAACATCATATGTAAGTAAGTAGCATCTAGAATCGAATCCAGAGCAGCTAAGAAAAAAAATCGAGTAGCTTGCGGGCCGGTCGTCAGTTCAGACTAGCTGGTCAGTGGGGGTCAGAGAGTGTTCCGTTAGTGTTCTCACAGTCTCAGTGCGACCTTGCTTGGTCAACAATTTGGAGAGTTTGCGAAACGAAGACTTTCGAGAACAAATATTAAACCGGGAAGAAAAAAGGGGAAAAAGTAAAGAAAGTAACAATAAGGCGCATATGGCACGAAAAGGAAATCCGATTTCGGTAAGACTCGATCTGAATCGTAGTTCAGATTCAAGTCGGTTCAGTGAGGGCGACCGCGAAAGTCACCGAATGGGTCAGTCTTTTCCTTCCTTCAGTTTGTCCTATATATGTTGAATAAAAAAGCTTGGGATGGGAGGACGTAGCAGATGTCCGGGACGGACACGACTTCTTCTAACGCTAGAAGACCACTGGAAGAGACCCGGGACCAGAGCATGTCGTGAAAGAAGCACACCGGGCGGGCGTGCTTCGACCGTGTCTCCGGGGCACAGTTGAATGTAGATATCATGAACGCGAGGTGCAGGATACCAGGCCGAGAAACCTGGCACCCCCTATGTGCCGATCGCTAGCGCATCCAGGGCCCCGGCGCCCTGCGGAGATGGAGAGGCCTAGCCTGATCTGAGAAGTGCTAATTCGGTTCGGATAGACTTCATTCAAGAACGCCGCCGCCCCTGGAATCAATAAGAAAACTAGTGCTAAGTTTCAGATCAGTGAATAAACCGAAACGAAAGAAGAAAGAGACCTTTCTCGCTCGGCGCCTAAAGCGCACTATGCTCCGCTTCAACAAATGAGAGTTTTCGGTGGAACCGGTGAACCACGCGAGCTGGTTAGATGCGTGGGACAGAGGGCTCATAGTACCTGCTAGCGCAGCTATGCAGTGGAAGGGAAGGAGCCTAAATCGACCCCCTTATTTTTATTATTTTAAAAATAAATAATAAAAAAGTACAAAGAGATTAGACTCTCGGATGAGACTAAGCAGCCACCGACCGTTCCGACGCGCCCCTGACCTATTTTTTTTATTAAGACCGAAAACCTATCTAAAATAGAGCCTAGTTTAGGCTGTCAAACAAATGATAAAATAAAAAATATTTAATATAACCACTAGTAGGGATATGGATGGAGTCTCGCTCAGTAAAGAGAGTTGTAGATTCCTAGAAAAGGAGAGGAGCCTCGACTTTCTATGATGTTCTTAGTCAAGAAGCGCTAACGCTGCAATCTTTCTAAAGCAAGAAGCGAGAAAGTTTACTTTGAGAAAGAAGGTGCTTGTTGCCGCTTTCTTATTTTTTTATAGTAAGTAAGTAAACTTGTTTTGTTTTAGTTTATAAGGCGAAAGGTTGCTATTTTTATAATTATTATAGCGTTAGCGCTTTAGTTTTCAATAAGTTTAGGCTTGACTAAGAACATAGAAATGTTGAATCAGGGTGCGCAGGGAACCCTATACAAAGGGCCTTTCCCTTCAAATGACAACTGCCTCTTCCTGCTGCGAAGGCCTTGCACGAAACCAACCCCCCACCCCCGATCCAGTACCAGTTGTTTCGCTGGTAGGCCCACTTAGGTTAGGGGGGCATTGTCCCTCAGTTCTTACCAACCTCCGGTGTGTAATCGACATGTTGCTAACTTCAACTCGGTTGAATAAGAATCATTGATTCCCTTTGCTGTCCATTTATTATTCATTCAGGGCGCTCGGCCGGTGCTCCTTTTTTAAACCAGAACAACTCTGAACATTAGAGAAGAGAAGATAAGGGAAGACCACCTGAGCGAACCGACCGAGGGGACTTGACTTATTCGAACCGAATGATAGCGGCTTAAAGCTAAGCCTATCACGAGCAGCGTCGCTGCTTGATCGGCGGGGAGAAGCATCTCAAAGTATGGGGCAAAGGATCAAGCGCTTTGACTTTGTCTCCCGGGATTCACCACAGGTTGGGTTTGAGAGCCGTGTGATGGGTGACTATCCAGCACGGTTCGGAGAGCACTTTTTGTCAGCGTTGGTGAATGGAAGCCCCTCTATCAAGAAAGAAGCGGTTATTCCCACGGCGGAGTCACCATTGACTCTATTTATTATTATGGTAAATTAGTTTATCAAGATGTCAATCTGAGATCTTATTTCGGTTCGATACGTCCACCTGCGAGACTAACCTTTGGCTTTCGTCTCGGTAGGTGTATTCTTATACATTTTCCCAAAAGAACATTCATTCATTTCTTTCTTCCCCGTCGACCACGACGACTGAAACGACGCGATAAATCCAGACCCGGAAAGGAGAAGGGCCGGTGGTGGGCATTTGGGAAAGTCGGGCCGATCAGGTGTCTTCATTCCAGCAACAAGAAAGAAGAAGAACGAAACGAAGTGAGAGGCTGGAGGGCAGGGAAAAGAGTCGAGTCGATCAGGCTCGACGACCGGGAGAAGCAAAACGAAATTAGGATTTGGCCGAAAAAGAAGCAACGCTATGGATACCATGACCGATCACCATCGATAAAGAATAATCTTTCTAAATCACTTCGGGTCAGCGGGGCCTTCAAGCATCCGAAATACGCCGGGGCTGTAAATGACATAGCGTTCCTGATAGAAAATTACGACTCCTTCAGAAAAACGAAGTTTTTTAAGTTATTTTTCCCCAAGAAGTCCCGCTCCGACGGCCCGACGAGTCATCTATTTAAAAGGACCCTCCCTGCAGTGCGCCCCTCCTTGAATTATTCGGTCATGCAATACTTTTTTTGTAGAAAGAACCAAATGCATTTCGACCCCGTCGTAGTTCTCAATCATTTCGTGGCACCGGGCGTGGCTGAACCATCTACGATGGGGGGAGCGAATGCGCAGGGAAGAAGCTTAGATAAGAGAATACGTTCTCGCATCGCTTTTTTTGTAGAAAGCTCGACCAGCGAGAAAAAGTGTTTGGCCGAAGCCAAAAAGAGGTTGACCCACTTCATTCGCTTGGCGAATGATCTTCGCTTCGCGGGAACAACAAAAACCACCATCTCGCTCTTTCCTTTCTTCGGTGCTACCTTTTTCTTTCCAAGGGATAGAGTTGGGATTTATAATAACCTTTTTTTTAGGATGCCCGGGAACCACTCCTAGGTCAATTAAGGATCAAATGTTGGAACCTCATGGGTAAGGATAAGGTAATGGAATTGATAGATAAATTCATAGACCTAGGTAGGATAGGAGAGTGGATAAAGGGAATAGAGATGATGATAGAGATCATATTGAGAAACAGAAAAATTCCGTACGGGTACAACTCTTATTTGAACGAAGTGAAAAAAATGCGATCTTTGTTGTCTAATAGAACAAACACTAATACCTTAATTGAGTCGGTCAAGATCAAATCTGTTTATCAAAGTGCTTCTCCGATTGCTCAAGACATCTCTTTTCAACTGAGAAAGAAAACAAGATCATTTCGTTCCATTTTTAGTAGAATAGTTAAGGATATTCCATTAGTAATGAAAAAAGGGGTTGAGGGGATCCGTATATGTTGTTCAGGTCGATCAGAAGGCGCAGAAATAGCTAGAACTGAATGCGGAAAGTATGGAAAAACATCTCGTAATGTATTTAACCAGAAAATCGATTATGCTTCTGCGGAAGTATCTACTCGTTACAGAATCTCAGGTGTCAAAGTGTGGATTTCATATAGTAAAAAAAAAAAGGGACGTGCTATATCCGAAAAGTACGAAATTTAGTAAATATCGTAAAGGCAGATGTAGTAGGGGTTGCAAACCAGACGGATCAAAACTAGGTTTTGGAAGATATGGCACTCAAAGTTGTAGATCTGGTCGTCTTTCATATCGAGCCATTGAAGCAGCGCGTCGGGCTATAATCGGGCACTTCCATCGTGCTATGAGCGGACAATTCCGAAAAAATGGTAAGATATGGGTAAGAGTTTTCGCAGATATCCCTATTACCGGGAAACCTACAGAAGTAAGAATGGGAAGAGGAAAAGGAAATCCTACGGGTTGGATTGCTCGTGTGTCCGCGGGACAAGTCCTATTTGAGATGGATGGTGTGAGTTTGTCAAATGCTCGACAAGCCGCTACATTAGCGGCGCATAAACCATGTTCGTCAACCAAGTTTCTTCAGTGGTTGTAACGTAATTGGTTAGTGGGGAAAAACCAGGCCGGGACTCAAAAGAATTAGGCGAAGGGTTTGTTCCTAAACGAGGGAAGTGGAAAGACACTAAGGGAGAGGGATATACTCCTTTTTGAATCGCCGAAATTGTACGACTGTTCCAGGCGTACGACCCTGATACGTTACGGTTTTTTTCGGGTACTCTTTCCTGTGATTGTATTGGATATTCTTCTTTATGATCACAAGGTGGTGCGGTGCTTGGGCAGGTCTTCTCTGATTACGTTCGGACGTGATAGGGAAGCCAGGAGGTCCAGGGACATAGCCGACCGATGCACTCCCCATCCAGCAGAAAGAGAGGGGAACGCAGCCCCCGCCGCCATATGAGTCAGATACTATTATAGTTTTACTCTTGTGGGAATTTCAAGATGTATTTTTTTGTTTTGGCGATAATAACTTCTGGGAGGGTGAATCCCAGGTTCCACCACAAGAAAGAAGGACAATAGGTAGTTCCCTACGAGGAAGTGCTGCCCAAAAGGGACTACTCTACATCGGCCGGGATTGGACACTAGTCCTTCAAGTCTTCAAAGATCGGATTCAATCGATTATTCGCATTCAACTTGAACAATTCTTGTGACAACAGACGAAATTCCTTCGTTCCCTTTCTCAAAGGCGAAGATATCGATTTCGAACAAAAAGGGAATCTCGAGTACAAGCCAAGGAGAAAGACTGCCATCTCAGGCATACCATCGACAGAGTCAGGAAAGGACAGGCATAAGGCGCGCTAAAAAAATACGATCTTTCAACTCTATCCCTTCTCCAGCTAACCAAGCTAATTCCCAGCTCCCTATGAGCTCAGAGTCGCTAACGCAAAGAGGAAGAAGAGCTACTTCCATCATTCCAATAGTAACAAGGTAAACCGAACCCAAGTGAAGTTAAGCCGAGAAACTGGACAAAAGTACCTGTTTTGTTTGTGAGGTGGTAAGGCAGATTTCTGAGAGTTGTTCCGTACCTCTTGAGTTCTGAACTAGAGTCAAACCTCCGCAAACCCTTGGTGGACAGGCTTTCGTACCGAAACAGCTGACTTGCTTGCATCCCTTTGATTGCTTAGTCTCTCCTCCTTGCTGCACTATTATGGTACATCGGTATAATCCTCTGATCCCGTGACTTGCCTTTAATTTACTTGTCTTTATCTTTCATCTTTCTATCCTATGCAAAAAAAAAAATAGAGGAAGATTCTATGAATATCCCCATCCATAGTAAAGACTCTTCTCAAATACGCAGTTGCCAGATTACACAAAGCCATTTTCAGTGTGCTAATTCAACCTTCTTTATAAAGAGGATATGCCATATGGTGCCCCGAGGATTAGAGCCAAGAAATATACATCACATCGATCTAGCCTAATAAACAAGGCTCCATTCCGGCTTAATTAATTATTGCCTCCTACCGTATGGCATCTCCTCTACTTCAATTCAAACTAGTGTTTCGCCCCTTTCCTCTTTCTTTGCTGCAATAGATGAGATTGGCATTGGCCTAGTTCCAATCCTTCGTCAAGTCACTTAAAAACTCCCTCCTCATTTGCTGCAGGTGAGAAAGGGCCTTGCTTTCCGCTGGCCTGATTAGTAGTCAGACTGATGATCTACCCGTCTCCGAGGGGGTAGACCTGCCGGCAACTCCTACGGCAAAAGAAAAGCGAACTCTTCCTTAAGCAGCGCTATGCTTCATCCTCAAGGTCAACGGTTCTAGCCTCCTGAACCGTCGTAATGGACTTATAAAATATAAAGCCTCTTCTGCTTTACCTATTTGGCTATTTGGGCCGTTTTACTCATTTCTTTGATTACCAGGGCATAAGACTGCCCGCTCCACCACGTGCATAAACTCATTATCTCATGATAGGCCAAAGCGTGACCTTTTTTCTGGCCAAACTCTGTGACAGGGATATAAGGGTGTAATCCTGATGTCTCTAAAGCGCTACGTCTTTTCCCGGCCATCATGCATCGCTCCAACCTCCTATTGCCACAGCCTTACAAGCAAGAAGTTCAAAATCTCATATAGGGACCTTACTGCCGTTCCCAGCTTAAGCGTCTACACCTCCCAACAAAGAAAGTGAATGAATGTGAAATTTTCTTTTCTAACTAATGACACATCTTCCTTAATAGCAACTGCACTTCTACGCAGGCATCAGGAAAGGGATTGACCTTTGGAAAGTAACTTCCGCTTATCCCTCTGTGAGCGGAGATGGTTATACAGGAAGTGTTGTGGCTTTGGTGGAAGGCTGGGAAGATCCTTGTTTGGGTTTGGTAGACTCTTAGTTTGGGACGATCTTTCCGGTTTAGGAATTTACTATGGAATTCGGTCACTCGGGTAAGAACTTAAGGCATTGAAAGACGTGAACCAAATCATTTAAGCGTCCACGTATTGGCTTCGATTCTGGCAGAAGCGGGATGGCACTCTATTACGTAGATAGACAGAAGAGGGCCTAGCTGGCTTGACCCAGAGAAGAATGTTGAGTTGAGGAAAAGAAAGGCTTTAGCTGCCCATTCTGGAACACGAACATGAAGCCTGATCCTAGTACTATACTAGTAGGTAGGGCTTATTATGGAATAGAAAGCCCGGGAGGTCCCCCCGTGTTTAATAGCATATCTAGTTTCTGCCTGGTTTGCTCTTTCTTTGCCGCGGACCAATGTGAGAAAGAAAAAGAGAAAAGGGGCGGAAGGAGAGGAATTAGGTCAAGATTGGGAGAAAATGGAGCTGGGACTGTTCATCTTCTACAAGAAAAACCCTAAGCCAAAAACCAGCCGCCGACACAACCCCTATTTCTTCTCCATTTTCGCTTCCATCATCAATTCGTCTCTCCCTTCCTTCTTCTTCTTCGCCGTCTCTCCCTTCCTTATTCTTCTCTTTCCTCAACCCTCCTCTTTCTCCTTCATTTTTCGGACATCTTAACCCTCTGCCGAAACCCTTTTCCGTCTTTCTCCCACCATTGCCACAAAACCAACCTTCAATCAACCGAAACACACACAGTCGCCCCCATCCATCTCACTCTTAACCATCTTCGTTCTATTTCCCTCTATTTCTTCCTCTCACCCAAAACAAAGACCCTTCCTTCTTCTTCTCACTAAAGACGCACTCTGACCGCCCTCCGAAAACTATTCACCACAAACCTCCACCGTCAAACCCTCAACCCTCATCTTTCTCCTTCATTTTTTGGACATCTTCTCCCTCAAAGCACGAAACCCTTTCCGCGATTTACCATTTAGAAGTAAGCCACAGTCGCATCTCACGCGAGCTAAGCTACTCCCTAATCCATTCAGGAGAACGACATCACTTTCCGAGCTCACCAACAACACGTGAGTCTCATACCCAGTCGCAATAGTTTAGGTAAACACGAACAGTTTCTGCAACAACAAGCTAGCGCTAATGTTTTGCAGCAAATCAGTTGAAACATCAACCCTGGCATCCAGTTTAGCGGTACTGGTAATATGGTGTCATAACGACCTCTCCGTTGCTGTTCAAGTCAGTCCCTGCATGCACTCAAGAGTTCCTTCCAAGTACACTCCGAATCCGCCGCTGACTCGACAACAAATCTGGCAACCACACGGTGTCGGTAATCTTCGAACCATTTTGACAGAATGTTTTAACTTATATTTGTCGTCTCATGGTTTGAGTTTTATGGTCATATAGTGGTCCGATTATAGCATTTCAATGAATATTCAGAATTAATCTGTTGTTTCTGAAATGCTTCAATTCATATGGTAACGGTAGTAGTAGGTTCTTGGATTGACGAATATCCGGTTTTATGTTATAATGGTGTATATACTGCTAGCTGTTCTAATCTTTGCACTTAACTCGCTTGTAATTTTGCTTTGGTTTTCATTGAGATTCAATTAGAGTTGCATACTTCCTTCTTGCTGTTTGGTGTTGTGAATCCTATGATTAATTTGTATGTAATGTTGGTGCTGCTACCGTTTCGGTTTAATCCAATTTTGTTAGAAGAATACCCTGTTGTTGGTGATGCGGTATTTTGTTTCAACCCGATTTTTTGCCGCAAATTTGATTGCGCCAACCTCGGCTCTACTGAGCTTGGCTCTAAGTTTGGTTTTCATCCAAGATCATTAATTACAAATTTTGATCGCTATAGAGCCGTTTATAAGGCTGTGAAGTTATTCGAAAATTTACGAATTTGAATCAGTTAGCATTATGTCGTTTTTGTATATATACTTTAGATTGTCGAATATGCTAATGTTTATATCTTGTGTTTTTTTTTTAAATTTTCTATCAAGACAACTACAACGCTTCTTTACAGAAGCGTTGTTAAAATCTTATTATGTGGTGAACCTTTTACAGCTGCCCTGAAGGAGGCGCTGTTAAAACTAGGTTTATTTATTTATTTATTTCTAACATTTATTTAGATTCTTTTATTTTCTTTTTCTTTGCTAGAGTTTGTTTATAAGAATTATATAAATAAAAAGTGTATTATAGTTTCATTAATTACATTTATTCAATTACTAATTGATCTGACCTGATCAGAAGGAGATCACGGGCTGACCACACGCTGTTGGACTGCTACCTGTTCACCGTTGATGAGGAGGAGAAAGGGGGGTGTACCTGCAAAACACTCCAACTCCAAAGTAAGGAGTTGGGCAGAGTGAGAGCAAAGCACAGAAAATGGGTAAGAAGTGAAATTACCTGACCCTCTTGAGGAAGAGGGTATTTATAGAGAGACCCCAGCGCTGGGCCAACGGTCACTTGTGTTGGGCTGGGTTGCCAGGCCCAACCCAGGTGACTGCTAGGGCTTACGTGGCGTAGTGAAGACAAGGACGTGGTCTTCGCCCTAGTCTAACTGCTCCTTGATCTCCGGAAAGTGGGTTTGACCTGCTCTTTCGGAGGTGGGCAGTTAGTTGGTGACGTGTCCCCGCGGAGGGGAGCACGTGGAGAACGCGCACAGGGCACGTTGTTCTCCCCGCGGAGGGGAGCTCGCGAGGTTCATCGGAGCAGTGTCGTTCTCCTTGAGGAGGGGAGC